AAGTGAGATTTAAATACGCGAACACGCCTTTATTATAATTAAGATTTGCAAATTGAGAAGTTAATATTTCATTTAACTTATGAACCTAGTGAAGTAAAACTACTCGTAAAAATTCCAAACAACATTTTATTATCGTGTGAAGTTAATGTAATTAATAATACTTAATTTTATTTGCTCTCATTATGCTGCATTCTTGTAGACATTAAGTAATACAAATGCGAGTATATAAAAATGTATAATTTAATTATTCGTTTTATCATTTACAATTGATATCTATGATCAAATAAAAGGAATCAAATCTCTAAAACAAAAATTTTGATTCATTTATGTGATATGATACATAATAATTAACGGTAGGAAAGTATTTATGGCACAATATGATTTAATATAATAAAATAATGTTTCCAATGATAATCGCAAATAAAGAAACTACAGTGAACAGCTTTTAACTAATCAGTAAGTAATAAAAGACATTGTTCACGAACATGTGCGTAAGAAAGTTAAAGTTTCGTAGGTTTTAATAATATACATTATGTATACCTGGCAATTTTAGCAAATACAATGTATTGGTTGTAAATACTTAATTAAAAAGGCCGTCAGTTGCATGCCTTTGTACTTTTAAAGCAACTGTCATTCGTACAGTGGTTTTGCAATTTATCGGTTCAGATAAAGTAGGAGAAAAATATTTACTGCAGAATAAATGCTTGAAAATATTTCTCTCGATATCTTTCTGAGCATTGCAATAATAATAATATATGAATAATATATAATTTGTTATAGATAATTAATTGAGTGAGCCTCAGCATTATTAGAAAATATATTAATTTGTTCAACAATAACATGTGATGTTTAAAGAATTTTATAAAGTACATTTTTTTTGTTGATAATTTCTATCGAATTAAACTTTTAAAACTATAATTATAATAATATTTACAAATCATATTATTCATTTGAATTCATATAGGTTGAAGCAGTTTTATATTTTCTTTAACTTTTCCGACAAAATCAAATATGTTAAATACATAAATGTATATATATATATATATATATATATATATATTTTATCGAAGATATTATGAAAAACTGCAAATTTATTTTTATTACAATTAGTTATCGATTGAAAAAATTTAAAAAATATAAAGCTAATAATTTATTAATGAAATTACTAGTCAGCAGTGGGAAAACATTGCCAAAATATTACTCAAGAAACTTTATAACCCAAGTTATCAATTGTACAAATTACAAAAAAAAAAAAGGAAAAAAAAGGAAAAAAAGGATGAAAAAAAGCTATGTAGTTCACCTTATGCATTCCTCGAGCTGCTTTAAACGAAGCCGATAAATAGCGAATGTACGTACAGGGTTTCGTGTCGACAACTTTTTTGTTCATGAGTGAAACGTGTTCTAAACGCTCGGCTATTGATGAAGTCATGGCCATTCGTATTATATAAAATAAGAAAGGAGCACGATGATAAACACAAGTTACGCAAATTCAATATCTATGTTTTATAGTTTTGACAGTGACTTTTACTAAATCGTAATTCTTATAAATTACGTACGTACTTTTCTTTTTATCACTTGACCTTTTTCTCCGACGGATTTTCCTTAAAATATTTCATAAAATCTTATCGACCTGTTATTTTCATCTTTCTATCAGTTATACACTACATACTCCACGACATATTAAATATTCCGAATATTCCTATTTTATATTAAAATTCTCCGGGCACTTTTAACAAATTTACAGCGTAAATGTAATCTAGTCCACCTGTAAATTGCATTTCAAACGCAGCAACGTACATGTCCTATTCTATTCATTAACTATGCAGCAGCGGAGCCTTAAATTATTCAATAATTCAATACTAATAGAAACAGTAGGCATTTCCTTGAGTATTAAGAAATAATACATAATCGATGATGAGCGACCGATGAACGGTTATTAATCTTAATACTCGCTAGATCGAAAGAAACAACGGATTGTAAACATTGCTTATCATTGATTTTCTAAAAACTGTCCCTCGACAAACAATTGACCACTTGCATTCGCTAACAATCTAGCAAATTTCCAATAATTTGTATACGGTGGTAAACACCCCCCCCCCCGAGTGCGTTCTTGGCATTTCCATCGATACTAGAGTCCCGATCGAAGCTTTACAAAAGCAGTGCTATACTTCACTCTTGTACCTTAACCATACAGATGGACCATATCCAATTATCATCCTCGTCTTCCGCGATCGTCTATCCATAGCTCGAGAGCATAAACAAAGCAGTCGACTCGTTCTCCATTCGGACTTCAGCCATGGGCAAATGGGCTCACCGCGGGACGGGCGGCTAATTATCGATGGGCCGCTGGTCAATTATCGCGCGAGCGCGAGACTCGCGACGTCCAGTTGTTCGAGGGGCCGTTATTTTTCTTACATGGCTAGCAGGCCACGCTGACATTTTCTCTCTCACGGCTTGTATCCTCGATCCCGTGTTTCATCTCTTCCCGTTCACGTGGCTCTCGCAGTTCCCCGTAGCTCAACCGCGAAGCGAGCCTTTTCCGTACCTCTTTTTGTTCGTGAAAGTTTCTTTATTTAATTTTGTATTTGCTTTTGGAGCTTTCCAAGTTTTTATCCCGCTCTTGGTCTGTCAAAATTGCCGAGGTTTTTCTCGATTAATAGTTGTCGTGAAAGTATGTGTTAGCGTATCAAAGCTACACTCTTTGCCTTGTAGTGCTTATCTGGCTCGAAAGAAGATTAGCCGGTCGACGCGGTGTTGCGATGTTGAGGATTTTTGCGTTTAACGTTTCAAGGTGCTTTGACAAATAATCTTTATTATCTCAATTTACTCCGATTTATTAATATCACTACTTCATTTATGTCGTTATTCAAATAATAATGCTCAGTTTCTATATTATACGGCAAACGCAAATTTTATAATCTTGGCGAAATTGTAATTAAGATGTAAACAATTAATAATTCAATGGTCCGAAATGTAAGAATTAAAATTAAGATATAATTAATACTCCAGCCTGAATTGCACATATCGGATATGTAATATTAAATTCTTATGCCGCGTAATTGTTATATTTTTACTATAATATGCAATGTCGAGATTGCTTATTTTTACAATTATTTTAATTATTTTTTATTTACTGCTTTGAGACATTACGTTTGCTCATTTTTTGAAATATTTGAAACACTTTTCATCAATGTTCATTATATCTCGGTAAACGTGCACTTCGTCCACGCATACTTGGTTTTAAATATAAAAAGCAATGGAATAAACGATACATATAGAAACATGAAGAATTTAAATTAATAGTTCACCATATATGACATTCTCTGTAGGTAAAAATAAATTCTTCTAACGGATAGTTAAAAGTTTCATAGTTAAAAATGTTTAAATTATGGGATTGATTAATTGAAAGTTCTTACTTTGAACACATTAATATGCTTTTTAATAAATAATTACTTAATATATTTAAAAAGAGAGAAAAAAAAATGCAAATAATCGTAATGAAGAGGATGTAGAATGTTAAATGTCAGGCATACAAAAATTGATATGTATATATACATTTTGTACATATTAAAATTAATTTATTCTTTTATTGTTTTGATAAATACTATTTAACAAATTTATATATTTTTACATTATAATTAAAATAGCAATTTTTATTATTACTTCAAACGTTAGATAATAAATTTGTACTTAGAAATTTTATAAATTAACAATGGACAATATTAAAATAGTTTATTTTTAATATGTGGTATTGTATTTTGTATTATATACAATTAGTCTTCGTTTTTATATACCTGATAACGTTTTATTAAAAAAAAGAAACAAATTAAATACGCACACAAATAAACACATGTTGGATTAGACACGTAGTTAGGATTTTATTTGTCATACATTAATTCATGCGTTATTCACCAATAGAGAATTGAATAGTAAAATTTTCAAGTAGTATTGCGATCAACATTTATAAACATTAAAATGCTATTTAAAAGTAGAAATTAGTTTTGAGTCCGTAATTGTTCTGCGACTTGTATTGTGATGTAAATATAAATCTTCTATTTCTAGTTAGGTTATGTTTGGCCTATGCTAAAACAAATAAGTTTTCCTTATGTGACAATAGTTTTAACCGTAAACTTAATTTATACACGTTTTAATTGATAAATAACTGAGTTCATATAAATAAAACGTTTTTTTTTGTAATTAAAATTTCATAGTTTAAAATGCCGTTATTTTATATTTTATCAGTGTACATATAACCCAATGTAGGCTTAAAAATACATTTTTATTTATATAAACATTATTGTAATAATGAGAAATCTCGAGTGCGTTGAGAAATGTATTTATCTGCATAATATTGTTGGATCGAAATTATTTTCTTTAAGTGGCCGAATGTAACTTATGCAGCACAGGCATGAATGTGTGCAGCTATTTAAAAGCAAATGCTTGTAAATTTAGAAAAAACAAATCTTGACTAATGCAGTTAACCACTACTTATAGCACAATGTACACAAAGCATTTTTAATAAATTGTTTTCTGAAGTTAAATCTTTTCGTGCATTTATTTATTAAATTTTCTATCTTTTCAGGTTAGTTTATATTATATTGAAATCATTAGCAATGAGCATGAAATTCTATTTGTTAAATATTAATCTACTCATCTAATATAATCTCCTAATAATAAATTTTATGTTTTTTGTTTTTTGTTTTTTTTTTTTTTTTTTT